TTCCACAACTTCAGGCACTTGGGAAATTTAAGCATAGATGTAACACAAATGACACAGCTAGCTGATTATATAACCTACTGAAAAAAACCAATCTACCCAAAAATTGAATTTAGAAGACATTGCTGTTTGTCCCAGATGTTTCTCTACTCAAGGAAAAGTCAGACCCGGCAGAATTCGATCCACAATGTTGTAAGATTTCTACAGCTACCCATTAAATAGGAGGCATCTAGAAGTGGGAAGAGTTCAAAGCCTTCTTTTTCTTCTCTCTCCACTGCTGCTAAGCAAATCACCCTTCTTGCTGGACTGTAGTCCCCCCCTTCCCTCCCCTGAAACCAGAGAGATCGCTGAGCCCCCTCCAAGTTCTTACATTCTTTGTCTGTCTAGGCCTAGGGGAATACTGCCTTTATTTTCTGCCTTTGTGGTTTAAAGAAAAAAAGTATAAGAGCTTTTCTCATATCTTTTCAACAAGGCCTAGAAAATTGTAGCACACTCATTTTTTCACAGCCAGGGGCAGTGTCTCCCACCAGCTCTACCAGGGCACTAGTAATGCAGTGTCTCGTGGGGACTTTTCCCATACCCCCCTTCACTTCAGTGGCTCAATCTGTGAAAGGAAGGATGGTTTTACAAAGCTTATTTTTATAAAATGCCTTTTAAAATAAGGTTAAAATTCCTCTCTCTACTTACATTTGGAGGATGTCATGTGGATGAATAAATTATAAAGTAGGCCTAGCTTATTAAAGCAAGTACCAGAACCAACAGCCACTTTCAGGAGTCCACAGAGCTGAATTAAGTAAAGGAATAAGCTTTAAAGGTAAGAATTGTTCCTTCTTTAGATAGCTAGAATCAAGTTACTTTCCTGACAAATGTTCTGAAGGTCAAAGCTTTGTAAGAGAAACTGGGTCTCTCTTAGAAAAGCTTTAGCTAGCATGGGGTCGTATTCCCAACTGAAGGTCTTCAGCTCTAATGTGTTACAGAAATTAGGAAGCAGCCAACTATAAATTGCATGCTTTATAAATCAAACCAGAAGGAAAAGAACAGTTTGGGATTATGAAAAAGGGCTTGTTCAGAAGAACAAAAATCATTTTACCACAAAGACATTTGCACCAGAATGTTTATGTGGCAGTTTGTAATCACCAAGTCATAGAGGCAAATGCCCACCAACCCAAATGCCCATCAGCCCACGAATGGATCAACAAACTGTGGTGTCTATATACCATGGAGGACTACTCAGCCGTTAAAAAGATGGAGACTTGACATCTTTTACATTTACCTGGGTGGAGCTGAAACACATTCTTAGTAAATTATAGCAAGAATGGAAAAATAAATATCCAATGTACTCCATACTAATATGAAACCAATATATAAATAATTGCATGCCCACATAAACAATAAAATGCAAATATAATCTAATGTGAGGGCAGGGGGAGGAAGAAGAGGGAAGGGAGAAGGACGACTGGCAGGAGGAGGGCGGGCATGTGGCCGGATCTCACTACTGTGCACATTGGAGGGTGTATAACATGCTCCCTGGGGGACGGGCTCTTTTACAACTGGAACTTTACCCTGGAAGTAAGAACAATGTAATCTAAAGATTTGTACCCTCATATTAATTTGAAATTAAAAAATTCATGAGTAAAACAAAAAAGGGCTTTGTTGAAATTTTGACAGCTTCAAAGAAACTTCAGGTCACTTGCAAGCCTTCTGAGAAGCTTGGTGAATCTTTCTTGGTGCTGTATTGTATTAAAGATCAAGTTGTTAGTTTAAAGTGGAGCAAGAAAGTAGCTGTAATTTGCAGAGGCCTCTAAGCATACGTTTACTGTAAGAAAAAGAGACAGCCTTGATTTCGAGTACATAATTTCCTTCATCTGATTCCCATAAAACCTGTGGGCATAACAATCCCTAGTCCACAGATCTTCCAAAAGCCACGACTGAACCGAAAAGTCCTTAAAATATTATAACTCACAGCTTCTTCAGCCCTACTCTCTTCTCCCCACCTCTATCCCGCATCCACCAACCTCCCATTTTTTACATGAGGAAAGTAAAGGCCCAAAACATAATCAAATTTCTTTCATCTTTAAAATAATGTACTCAGACCCTACAAGCGACCTCTTTCATCTGAACTACCCCATGCCTTAACTTCATTGTTGATTTTAAGATTATTTGGAAGAGTCAGTTCTCTTAAAGGTTGTATTCAGTGTTCATTTTAATGTGACTTCATTCATAGAATATATTGAGGAGAGCTGTTATTATTCATATGAATATATGGGTGGGGATGGATTGCAGCAGCTTTTGATCAAAGCCCTGGCCTTCTCGTGCTTGCTTTCTTTTCTTTCTCTTTTCCCTTTTTTTCTTTTTTCCTTTCTTCCCTTTCTTCTCTCTCCCTCTCCCTTTCTCTCTCCCTCTCCCTCTCTTTCCCTCTCTCTCCCTCTCTCTCCCTCCCTCTCTCTCTCGCTCTCTCTCCCTATCCCTCTCTTTCTCTCCCTCTTTCTCTCCCTCTCTCCCTCTTTCTCTTCCTCTCTCCCTCTCTCTCTACCTCTCTCTCCCTCTCTCCCTCTCTCTCTCCCTCTCTCTCCCTCTCTCTCCCTCTCTCTCCCTCTTTCCTTCTCTCTCCCTCTTTCCCTCTCTCTCCCTCACTACCTCTCTCTCCCTCTCTCTCCCTC